CCAAAGAGCACAGCTCCTGTCTGGTGACTATCTCCCATGGCTAAGTGACAGCTCTCTCTGGGTTCCAGTCATCACCCTTGATCCTAACCCCTTTAAGCCAGAAGTCTTAGTGACTCCACTGTTGCTGGTCCCGGGTTCCCTAAGCTCCATCCACCACTCTAAATAGTTCCCTCATTAATGTCCTTTAGATAATCACCTGTGGCTGGGCACGGTGGCTCATGCCTGTAATCCCAGCACTTTGGGAGGCTGAGGCAGGCGGATCACAAGGTCGGGAGATCGAGGCTAAGATGGTGAGACCCCGTTTCTACTAAAAATACAAAAATTAGCTGGGTGTGGTGGTGAGCACCTGTAATCCCAACTACTCGGAAGGCTGAGGAAGTAGAACCTCTTGAACCTGGGAGGCAGAGATTGCAGTGAGCCAAGATTGTGCCATGGCACTCCAACCTAGCAACAAACAGAGTGAGACTCTGTCTCAAAAATAAATAAATTAATTAAAAAATAAACACCTGTTTCCTGCTGGGACCCCCAGTCTAGGAGCTTTGATACTGACCGAGGGGACTACCTCTGCCTTTGATACCAACTGAGGGGACCACCCTTGTTCGGTATTGAGGGTGGTCCCCTCAGTCGGTATCAAAGGCAGAGATAGTCCCCTCTTTGATTGGCTGCTGCTTAAGGGCCCTCCTGAATCCAGACTCTGCTGCTTTCTCAGTGGTTTTAGGAACATTGATGCTTTCTCAGCGGTTTTAGGAACACTGCTCCTGGGTAGGATTTCTCCCCTGGATCACTGGGGACCATCTTCAGCTCCTTCATTAGCCCCTGGCATCACCTGACTTTCAAGGGCAGAAGCTTGGTGTCCCAGGCATCTTTCAGTGGCATGTGGCAGAAACCTTCTCCCTTCAATTCTTCCAAAGGAAGAATTTTCAGGACAGATTCATAGTCCCAGCGATAAGGAGCATAGTCAGGCCTCCCCAGGGTGGAATCAAGAGGACCAAGACAGCGTCTTTCTCTGTGTGTCTTCTGTCTGTCTACTGTCTGTGCCATTGGCTTCCATCCACATCTCTGCGTGTTTCTCTCCCTGTGGCGCTGTCTCTCTGTCTCTGTCTCCCCTTCTTCATCTCCGTGTTCTGTGTGTTTCTGTGTCCCATTGTCTCTGTGTCTGTCTGTCTCTGCCTGTTTGTCAGGAGCGCTCTTGTCTCAGGGCCTGGTGGGGTGAGCTAGCCTGGGTGAAGTGCACGGGGCTGGGCCATTTAGGGAGGTGCTCCCTCTCTGGTGCTGACCCTGCACTTGCTTAAACGTGTGCCTTGGGCACCTTGCCTGCCTTCCCTGCTCCAGGCCCGGCTTTTCTCCCTGTCTCCCTTTCCCTCTCTTTGCCCGTTTCTTTGTCTCTCGGACTCTCTCTTAGAGCTGAGTGGTTGTTTCTCTCTTGTCATGTGGTCTGTGGTCTCTGTTCACTTTAAACTTCACAGCCCAATCTTCCCGCCTCCCCAGGCCCGTGGCTGACGTTGGTTGCTTGGCCCTCCAGGACCCCTTAGTCCAGCACTCAGGATCTCCCAGTCCAATTGAAAATTCCAGGAGAGTGAGTCCAGCTCGGCACAGCCGTTCATGCCTTGTCCAGTCAGTTGTGGCAGGGGCTTGAGAACAGGCCGTCTGAGGAGGGGTCTGAGTGAGGAGGGGCTGCTTGCACGTGGGCCATCTTGGTCCTGAATCCCCAGGTCTCTCCATCCAATATGAAGTGCGGCGCGGCAGCACCCCTCACTGCCAGGACCCGGACAGTCTTGCCCTTGGGCCTTCCTGGGAAACTGCAGGAAAACAGAGCCGACGTTCAGCTTGAGAACAAGGAAAAGCATGCTCCGACCCCCAGCCTGCACCTCATGGTTCTTTAAATGTATTGAGCATCAACCTGCCTCCTCAACAATCCTGGTTCTTCCAGCTGTATCTGCGGAAACAAATCATCTCAACCAGTTCGGGGTTCCGGTTTCAGATGTCAGAGCCGTGTGTGGTGCAAACACTCTCTGCCATCTTTCACCCACTCATGGCCAAATGCTTCAGAGAATTCAAGAAGCACCAGGAAGGAGAAGGCAGCAGCCCTGACTCTGGGGATGAAAGATCCCCGAAGAGGGCTGGGGAGAGTCTCCAAGTGGTCCCCCCTGGGGGTGTAGATGGCGCTGCCCACATTAGCTGTGGGCATGAGGGCAGAGGAGCTCTGCTGAATGCCTCTCTTGTTTCTGATAGGGCCTCAACAGCTGTTGTCTACATCTCTGGGCAACTCTTAAATAGCAGCAGGATGATTTAGGGGCAATGCAGCACAGTTTTAATGGGGAAGGTGTGAAGATGGGGCTTTGGGGTCACATTTTGCCTCATTGGGAGATATCAGCCAAGGTGGGGGGCATGGGTACAGGAAAGGCCTGGGGATGGGCTTGGAGGCTGGTGGTGGCTATGGAACTGGGGGCTCTAAGCTTCAGCACACACCCTAAATTTTTTACGGGCCTGCTTAGGACTCATGCAGACTTACCATAGCTATCAGGGGCCTGTGCCCCCAAATCTAGACTCTGCCTTCAGCCAGTGTGCTTCTGGGGAAGGCAGGCCCCAGTCTCCCAGTTTTGCTGGTCTACTACAAATAGGGAGAAGAGGCCATCCCGGCAGAGAAAGCTCCTGTGAGCACTGGGGAAAAAGCCATGCAGGTGCAAACACGGGCCATAGTCACTTTGTAATGAAAGAATCCAAGCCTGTAGCATCTCTCTCTGGAATCCTTACTTTCATTCATTCGTTCATTCGTCTGAGTGTCATGTGCTGTACCAGGTGCTGGGAATGCTCAGGTCCTGTCCTCCAGGCTGTGGTAGGATGCGGTGGAGACTCCTGCGGTGCTGTAGCAGCACCAAAAGATCAGTGGATTCTTTTTCTTTCTAACTTTTATTTTAGGTTTAGGGGCACATGTGCAGATTTGTTATATAGGTAAATTCGTGTCATGGGGGTTTGTTGTACAGATTATTTCATCACCCAGATTCGAAGCCTAGTACCCAATAGTTGTTTTTCCTGATCTCTCTCCCTCCTGTCAGCCTCCACCCTCAAGTAGGCCCCAGTGTGTGTTGTTCCCCTCTTTGTATCCATGTGTTCTCATCATTTAGCTCCCACTTATCAGTGCGGTATTTGGTTTTCTGTTCCTGTGTTAGTTTGCTAAGGATAGTAACCTGAGCTTCATCCATGTTCCTGCAAAGGACATGATCCCATTCCTTTTTATGGCTGCATAGTATTCCATGGTGTATATGTACCACATTTTCTTCATCCAATCTGTCATTGAGCATTCAGATTGATTCCATGTCTTTGCTATCGTGAATAGAGCTGCAATGAACGTACGCATGCATGTGTCTTTATAGTAGAACGATTTATATTCCTTTGGGTATATGCTTAGGAATGGGATTGCTGGGTTGAATGGTAGTTCTGTTTTTAGATAAAAGCAGCTGATTCTATCCAGGGAGTCAAAGGGCCTTTCCTGGAGGAGGTGACATTTACTCTTGAGGTTGAGTAAGAGTTTACCAAGTGGGAAAGGAAGGATATCTGAGAGGGCATGGCTGGCTTGGAGAAGGGTGACACATTTGGAATAGAAGGTGACGCAGGAGCGGGTGAATGTGGCTGGAGAGGGGAGGAGGAGTGGCCCCTGATCTGGGCCTTAGCCTGGCCCAGTTGATCTCAAACTTTCTTCCAGCTCTGAGCCTCTTTGCATCTGCTGCTGAAGCTTTCTCTGCCGTCTGCCTCTGACTTTCTGTGGAATAAAGCCCTGTGCGGGGTGAGGGTAGGGAGTAAGGCCTTGGAGGACAGAGGTTGGTTGCTCAGGGGAGGACACAAGGCCCGGCAGTGCCCAGGCTGCACACATCACCTTGACAGTTTGTGGGCAAACCCTCCTGGCCGAGGGGAGATTGCGCGGCCAGCCACTTCCTCCAGTTCCTTCCCTCTGCCTGTCGTCACGGTTACCTTGGCCTTGTTGGGGGTGAGGTTAAGGCTGGGCGGAATCAATTTCGGCCAGGTTTCTATTTTCCCAGATGCAGGTCAGCCAGAGGAGCTGTCACTTCTGGTTCAGTTTCAAAGGAGGCCAAGGGACTGGGAGGTGCTTGGGTGTGGCGGTGTTGATGAGGCGGCTCTGCAGCTGACTCCCAGGTGGGGTGGGAATGGGGCAGGGAGAAGCTCAGAGGTAGTGGGGAATCAGCAAGGGGACTGCCCTGCCAAGGCCTGTGCTGACGGCCATGGTGCTGGTCTCGGGCCCGGGGCCCTCTGTCCTGAGCTCCCAGAGCATGCTGGGAGTGTTCAGAGAGAGGCTGTTTATTTTCCTGGCCTATAGCCCTTTGGGCTGAGACCTTGTTCCAGGCCTTGGGCTGCAAGAGTCACCCCCCGCATCCTCCTCCCTGGCTGGAGAAGTGAGAGAGTTGGCAAGCCCAGGGCAATCCAGTAGCTTCTCTAATGGCCTGACTCTGGGCTGTCCCCAGCCCAGCTGGTCCTGGTGTCCTTCAGACTTTCCTGGTAGGTAACAGACAGCAAGAGGTACCACATCAAAGTGCTCCTGATGGACTGGGGCTTCAACGGCCAGTGGCCAGGAGCAGGGTGCTTGAAACCAGAGAAATCTGAGTTTGAATCCTGACTCTGCTATTTTCTAGTTGTATGGCCTTGGGCAAATTGAACTATTGAGCCTCAGTCTCACCATCTGTAAAATGGGACAGTAATAGTAACTCCCTCATAAGACTTTGATGGCAAGTATTAAATGACATGTATTTAAAGCATTTAGCAAAGGAGGTAACAAATGGCACCCCTTGTTATTATTACTAATGCAGCAATAGCATCAGCAACTTTGATTCGATGTCTGTGCTAGTGGGTAGTGAGTCTCCTTCTCTCCTTTTGAGGGGTCCTATTTCATGAATGGTGAATTTCCTAACATGTCAGGAGGGAGAAGCAAGCCCGGAGACTCAGGAGGCTCCTTGCTTGTGCCCCAGTGTCCTTCCACTCTCCCACAGGTGGGCATCCTGGGGAAGGGATTAAAGCCGATGAGGAGGCTGGGGACACTGTTAGTGACAAGAGGAAATGGGTCCCAGCATTTGGAAGGACCAAGAAAGAAATATTGGGTATGGAGCAGCAGGGAAGATCTTAAATCTCAGCAGAGGGTAAGAGGGGAGGACAAACATAGTCAAGGAGGTCGGAAGGGGCGGGAGTGGAATGTGGAACCTGTGTTCATGCCCAAGGCATTTTTAAAGGAAGTGCCTGGGAGCCACTAGCCTGGAAAATTGTACCCAGAGGGCTTGGGCTGCGCAAAAGAAAAGGCCGTCACCGCCCATTGGGTGCCACTTCTGTGTGAGTAGACTTGCCAGGCTCCGGCACTCCTCATCTGGCTTTAACCCTTTTCTCTGCCTTTGCGTATTCTTCCTCCAGGAGGCCCACCTGTGGGAGAGCTGAAGGACCCCGGAGGCAGAAACGAGGGGCCTCCTGCGTCTCTGGGCTTGCTTCTCTCTCAGGACATCTGAACCCGGATGTCTGTCTCAGTTCATTTTGTGTTGCTATAGAGTGCCAACTTGGTAGTTTATAAAGAAAATAAATGTGTTTCTCGCAGTTCTGGAAGTTGTGAAGTCCGTTGTCAGGGTGCTGGTGTCTTGTGAAGCCCTTCTTGCTGCATCATCCTAGGGCAGAAGGTGGGAAAGCAAGCGAGCACAAGAGAGCAAGAAAGGGCCAAACTTCCTTCTATAACAAACCCCTTTTTCTTATAACAATGTTAATCCATTCATTAATATTGTTACTAACCATCTGTTACAGGCGCCACCTCTCAACACTGTTGTGTTGGGGATTAAGCTTCTAACACTTGAAGTTTGGGAAACCATAGCAGAATCCCTGCCCTTTTGGGCTGCTGACTCCTCCCTGGGATGTTCTGAGAGGATCCTTAGATTGGCTGGGAGATGTTTCTAACTCTCCAGCCAGTGGGCTGGCAGAAGTGTTCCCTTGTTCCCTGCGGAGATGTGGGTTAGGAAGGCGAAATTGTCCCTCTGTCTGTGTGTCAGGTGAGAAGCCATACTTCAGGCCTGTTTCAACGTCTAATCAGTGGCTCTGTGCCCTCACAGTTAGATGAGGAAGAGGAGCGAAGGAAAAGGCGCCGGGAGAAGAACAAAGTCGCAGCAGCACGATGCCGGAACAAGAAGAAGGAGCGCACGGAGTTCCTGCAGCGGGTGAGCTGGCCGGGTGGGTGGGGAGGCCTGCCGTTCCTCGGAGTGAGCTTGTGTACTCTGGACCGGGAGAGGCCATCAGATGTCTCTGTAGTCACTGAACATCTGCTAGCAGCTGCCAAGGCAGCCTTGGCCCCTCTGCTCTTTCCTACCTCCTGTTTCCGCCCCACCTCTGAACCAAGACAACCACGGGCAGCCTTCAGCAGTTCCTGCCCACACAACGCTTGGAACCCCAAGAAAGAAGGAGGTGCCGCGTTCCCCTCCACTGAAGCTAGACCCTTGGTGCTGATTGACCCAGATGGCCCAGGACTGCCACTCTCTATTTTGGTTCCCTGGTGGCTACCAAAGTTGTCTAGGGTGGGTGCCAATGAAGCTAGGTGGTAACATCCTGCATGTGGGCAGTGGACACAGCCTCTGGCCTGGCTACATCTGCACAGGGAAAAGCTCCTTCCCTCAGCTGCAGGTGGCTTATCCAGCCCTGCATGCCATCTGGCCAGCCCCTCAGCCACACTGAAGGTGGCCTCCAAGCTCTTTGCTGCTGCCTCTGGGAATCAGGGGTCAGCTCTGCATGCAGAGGTCAGCCAGGGGTTGCTCTTCCTCCTGGCCCTACCTGCTCTTTCATGTGGAATGTGCCGAGCAGGATGTTAGTTGTTTTTCTTCCCGGAGTCTTGCCTCTTAGAGCTTCCCTGCATCTCAGAAATGGTGGCTGGCAGTGAGGGAACATGACCAGAAAGCTAATCGGTCCAAGCCAGTAGACTCTTATCTTTTCACCCCTGATTATTGGTTCATTGCTGAATAATAAAAACATAATGGAGCAGGTCCTATTCTAAAAGTACACAGTGATTAACAATAGTTGCCACTATTTGTAAAGTTGGGTGCTGTGCTAAATGTTGTATGTACATTATCTCATTGTATTGGGATAACAACCATACGAAGTGGGTCCGTTCATTATCCTCTTTCACCAGATGAGGAAACTGAGGAAGAGTGGGGCTAAGTAACTTGCCCACATCTCTGTTATATTGGCTTTAATTCATTCATTCACTTGTTTGCTCTCTTGTTCATTAATTGATTCAACAGGTATTTTTAAGCATGTACTAAATGTGCACTTCTGTGCTGGGTACACTGGGGGCACATAGGAGGGACAGTCCTCCTGTGGGAGCTGGAGAGACAAGGCTAGGACTAGCCTAGACTAGCCGAGTGTTCTTGGACGCTGGAGAGTCTATGGGTCTCTTCTCACGCTTGCAACAAGCAGAGAGCTATTCTGTAGTTGAGTGTAGACAGCATGGGGCCGCATATGTACCTCCAGGCTGTGAGTGTCCAGGGCAGGGAATGGTTATTATAGATGGGGGTTAGATTCCTGGATCTGGGAGCTTCTTGGAAGAGATGGTGCTATAACACTGGGCTGGAAATCTTCAGGAATTTTCTAAGACATGGGCCTTCAAGATGGATGGAGTGTCACATACCTCATTTCCAGCACCGAGTGCCTGCCATGAGCAGAGCTGGATGAGAAACTGCAGGGACTGGGGAACCTTCGTGTGAGATCCCTGCCTTCAGGAGCTTGTCGGCCAGTTACCAGGCGAGATAGGCCCGAGTGGACAGCATGTTAGTGACACACGAGTGCCACAAAGAGTAGGTGCCCGATGAACGGCGCTCACTGCCCTTCACATTCCGGGAACACTTGCTGAGCACCTACTGTGTGCGAGGCATTTCTGGTGTTTTATTTAATCCTTGTAACAGTCCAGTGAGATAATATCATGTATCCCCATTTTAGAGACTGACCTGTAGCTCAGAGGGGTCAAGTTACTTGGCCAAGTGAGTGGTAGGCTTGGATTCATTCATCCTTTGCTGATCTGCCCGTCCTTTTAGTAGATGTTTACGAGTGCCTGCGGCACCGAGGGCAGGCGGGGGTGTCGGCAGTGGAATGGCAGGCAGGAAACGAGAAATAGTGACATGCTGAGCAGGCAAGTCCAGTGAGCTGTGAGAACACACAGCAGGGGCCCTGCCCTGGTCTAGGCTAAGGAAAGGCTGCTTCCATTCAGACATAAAAGATGAGTGAGATGAAGGCCCTAGTGGGTTACCAGGAATGGAAGGGCTCAAGCAAAGGCAAGAGGTGCTGTTTACAGATGTGTTTAAGGCATTGAAAAGGAGACCGGCTGGAGTTTAGAGTACCACGTGTCGGGGTGGAAAGGCAGGCAGGGCCCAGACCCCTCATAATAGGGTGATGCTAGATGCCGGGTTGCCTGAGGCATGCCCAGTCTGTGCCTATTGTCCTGGCCTCATGATTAGTAGCCCCTTCTTTGACTCTCACAAGTGCTGCCTTAGGATGATGGATTATACGGTCATGGAGAGCCACTGAAGGGTTGCAGGAGGGGAGGCACGCCTTCAAAAGATCCCTCTGGCTGCAGCGGGGGGCACAGATTGGGGTAGAAGGATCAGTTTTTGGAAGTATCATATTGTTCCAGTGAAAGGGAAGCGTGCAGCCTTGGGGTCTTGGGGGAGATTTGGGCAGCATTGTCGGGGCCCAAACCCAGTCCTCCCCGCACCCCTGTGTTCTCCTCCTCCTCCCCAGCCTTGGAAGCAGAGGTTGGGTGTGAAGTGTAGGGCATGAGTGCAGGTGGCTGTGTTGACAGTCAGTGCCTGCAGACCTGGGGGATTCCTCTTGTATTTTTTTTCAATAGGTAAACTATTTACAAGGCTCAGAGATGCATATATTCATTGTTAATAAATATTAATTATTAAGTTAGGGGATATATACAACTGGGACATATATCTGTAGGTGGCCTTTCATAGCCGAGGGTTCTGCATCTGTGATTCGACCAACAGCAGATCAAAAATATTCAGAAAAAGAAGCATCTGTACTGAACACATGCAGGCATTTTTCCTTATTATTCCCCAAACAATGTAGCATAACAGCGATTTACATAGCATTTACATTGTATTCGTCATTATAAACAACCTAGAAAATGATTTAAAGTATACGAGAGATGTGTATTGGTGATATCCAAATAACGGGCCTTTTATGGAAGGAACTTGAGCATCCTCGGATTTTGGTATCCGAGGGGAGTCCTGGGACCAATTGCCCAAGGCTACTGAGAGAAAATTGTGTATATATTATAGGTAAAAAGCCACCATCCCACCCTTGACCCCTGGACACCCAGCTCCACACCTGGAAGATTCTTATTGCATCTCGGAATTTGCCTGCCTAGACTAGCTGAGGCCCCGAACCTGGGGAAGGGGCAGGCCTTGGGAGGGGTCAGGTCCACACCCTGCAGGCCCTGGGGCTACCTCAGCACCTCCTCTGTCTGCAGTCAGGAGCAGTGGCCTTGAGGCTTCTGCCTTGTATAAAGCTGACGGCTCCTGTCACACTGCTGTCTGAACAGTTCTCTCGAGGTTGGTAGCAATAATGCTATCTCACAGTCCTGTGGTGCCCTCTGGTCTTCATGGCCACTCTCTCCTTGATGATCACAGTGGCTCTGGGAGGAGGAAAGGCAGTCCCGTCCATTGATGAAGTTCAAGGTCACACAGTGGCTGAATCAGGACTAGAACCTGGGGCTTCCTCTGTGCCCCAAACAATATTCAGGTTGCCCAGACTTAAGAGAAAATCGGAAACTTGTTAACGGAAGCATAGCTAGCAAGTAGCAGCGTCAGGATTTTAATCCAGACAGGTCTTTCAGGCTCTAAGGGCCATATCAGGCTGCTTCCCAGCTCTTACAAAAAGTTAGTGGAATTCCATTTTATGTGCCTTAGAATGGGTTTTTAAAAATATAGACTCAGATGATCTTTTGTTGTTTTTGAAACAGAATCTTACTTTGTCACACAGGCTGGAGTGCAGTGGCACAATCATAGCTCACTGCAGCCTTGTACTCCCAGGCTCAAGTGATCCTCCCACCTCAGCCTCCTGAGTAGCTGGGACTACAGGCATGCCACCATGCCTGGCTATTTTTTTTATTTTTTGTAGAGACAGGCTGGTTGTGTCCCTGTGTTGGCTAGGCTGGTCTCGAACTCCTGGACACAAGTGATCCTCCCACCTCAGCCTTCTAAAGTGCTCGGATTACAGTCTTGAGCCACCATGCCCAGCCAATTCAAACAATCTTAATGCTTAAAGTCCCCGTGCCTATCATCATATTTTCTGGGAGGAAATTGAGGCCCAGAGAGAAGTGACGTGGCCAAGGTCACACAGCTAGGATTAAAAGCCAGGACACCCAGCCCCTCACCTTGTATTCTTTCTATTGCCTTTGCCAACCACAGTGTAGGAGGCAGAACTTGACTTGTACTAATTTTATTCTAAAACAACAAATGGTTTCATTTTCTCTAGGGCAATAAATATCCAACAGAAGGCAAAACAATGAACAAAAATGCAGCCAGAGGTATATGCTTCATAATTAATGCGAGAAAGATCCTAGCTCAGTTCCTTCATTAATTAGATAAACAAATTAGGTAATTGCCATTACAAAGTCACAAACCACTTCTACAATCATGGTTTTAAAAAAAAGATTCTTTCTGAACTCAACTTATACTTACACAATAAATAAATATGTAGAGCCAACAGTAACACTTTGAGGATGGAAGGCAGTGAAACTAAAACGCAGTTAGTTACATGTTGGCTGGGCATGGCGGCTCATGCCTGTAATCTCAGCACTTTGGGTGGCCGAAGCAGGCAGATCACTTGAGGCCAGGAGTTCAAGACCAGCCTGGCCAACATGGTGAAACCCCGTCTCTACTAAATATACAAAAATTAGTCAGGCGTGGTGGCACATGGATGTAATTCTAGCTACTGGGGAGGCTGAGACACGAGAATTGCTTGAACCTGGGAGGCAGAGGTTGCAGTGAGTCAAGATCGTGTCACTGCACTCCAGCTTGGGTGACAAAGTGAGACTCTGTCTCAAAAAAAAAAAGGCAGCTGCATTCTGACAGCCAGACAATCAGATTTCGGGATAGTCCATGATGTACCCTAACATTTAAAACCCACAGAATATCATGTTCTTTGCACGATAACTGCATGAGTAAAGCAAGTTGCCCTACACTGCATTGATCTTTTTGTGTGATACAGATGTTCCCACATAGTTGGTTTGACACGTGGTAATTTCTCAGAGGCGGATATGTGTGTGCAGTGCTATTGAATTCTGCCTGTCAGACACTTCCCCTTGCATGTCCAGTTTTAACTTCACACTCACTGTACCCAAAACAAACTTCTTCCTTTTCCTTTCCACCACTTTCCAGAACAGCTCCCCTCCCAGGCTCCGGTCCTCAGACCCTCCGTCAGGTTCATAGTCAGCTCTCTGCCCTATCTCCTTCCTGCTCCAAATCCAGGCAGTCACCAAGATCTGCTGATTTTTTCTTTGAGACGTTTTCCTTCTCTTCTTCTCTCTCCTCTTTATGCTATTCTCTTGCTCATGTGTTACAGGCGAAATTCCTTAAGCCTCTCTAACTGTTTGGTTTACAAAGTGCTTTTCCCTGTGAGTCCATCTAATCCTCACGATCCTCCCTTGTCTACAGAGTGGATAACTGAGGCTCAGAGAAGTTAAGAAACTTATTTCTGGCTGGGCGCGGTGGCTCATGCCTGTAATCCTAACACTTTGGGAAGCCAAGGTGGGTGGATCACCTGAGGTCAGGAGTTCAAGACCAGCCTGGCCATCGTGGTGAAACGCCATCTTAAGAAAAAAAAAAAAAAGAAAAGAAACTTATTTCTAGACTCAGATTCTCAATGCATAAGCTTTCCAGAGCTACAGGCTGGCTATAAACCCACCTTTGCAGCTTTATACCCTACTATGTCCTGAAGTGAGCTATGGTTACGGTGGAATCATTTCACCTTCTAAATTCATCCTAAGCTTTCCTATGTCTGGGTCCTTGTTCACACCGGTTTCCCCACCCGAAAAAGCCCCTCCTTCCCCTTCTCAACCCAGCCAGAGTCAACCCATCTTTCATGCCCCAGGAGAGACCTGCTCTTTAAGCCCTCTTTGAAATCTTCTGAACCCTGGGTGGCTGATGGCCACACACTAAGCTCTGCCTTGCCACATGCATTACATCTTCCCCTTAGAGTGGAAATGCCGTAAGAGCCATGTGGGGACTCGTGGCCCTTGCATTCCCAGGGCATTCACTGTACACAGCAGGGCCTCAGCAAACACTCACGGACGGGTGGGTTCCCAATACTCCTTGAGGCAGGGGCTCAGGAGAGTTTGAAGATGGAGCTAAGCCCTAGGACTGGGGAGACCGTGGTGGTCAGAGGGTTTGTGAGAAGTTCCCAATGTCACCAGAGAGTCACCAGTGGGCAGGGGGCTGACACTGGCACCTAACTGCCCCGGCCTGAGTGCTCACAGGGTTTCATGCGGGGTCTCTCCTGGCCCTCCGAGATGTGCCCCTCTTGGAATTCTCAGGGCAGAGGACCAGGCCAACTTCCTAGTCATGTCCCAGCCTGTAGAACCAAAAACCACCAGAGCTGATTTTTAATAATTTCCCCCAGCATTTTTTTTTTCCTTGAGTGAGGCTGTTTTCTCACAGCATCTGGTCACGAGGCCGGCCTGTCTCAGCAGTTCTGAGTTCCCAGGTGCTCATGCTGCCGCCTTGGAGATAGGCACAGGAGCATTTTGGTCAGACCAGCTGTGGGGGGAGGAAGATGGAACCCCTGGAGGGAAGGGCTCCTGGGACCCCCTGGGGAGGCCGCTCCACCCATGCCCTGCCAGGAGGATGGCAGCGATGGGCCCACAGCCCCTCCAGTCACAGGCCCTCCAGTGTCACACACGCAGTAGCAACCACTGCTTGCTGTTTGACTGACACAGGTCGCTCAATCTCTGCACTATCGACATTTTGGACTAAATAGTTATGGGGCTGGCCTGTGTGTTGAAGGGCGTTTACCTGCTAGATGCTGGTAGCACAGCTCCCCCTGAGTTGAGACAATCAAAAATGTCTGCAGACATTGCCAAATGTCTCTCGGGAGGCAAAAATCACTCCTAGCTGAGAACCACTGGTCTGAAACTTTGCTGGCCCTGGAATAAATGTCAACTCTCAAAGTTTTTAGACATAATCCAAGCCAAGTTATTCAGGTGCTGCCTGCTTTACTGTTCGACCCTCCAAGCCTTGACTCGACACGCCTATCTCGCATCCACACTATGGACGTGTAATCCTCACCACCTCCCGCATCAAATCGCCAACATTCCTTCCTTTCCCGGAACCTCTCCCGCTGAGCCGGAAGTTCCCTGGAAATCTCACTTGAGGTCTGTTGGAAACCTCATTTGGGATCCAGCAGGATGACCGTTGATTCCCTCTCTGTGGGCAAAGCTTCCAGATCACAGGGATAAGGAAGAGGCTATTTAAGTAATTATAGACTAATAGCTAGGAAGCACATGTCTTGGGAGGAATGTGACCACACTACACTCACTGATCCCGCAAGCCAAGGTATCTCTCACATGCGTCTGCACACATCAAAGCACATTGCCGTTACACTGCCATCTGTGTCCCCTCGTGAGGCCCCCCACCCCATGCTTGCTCCACAGACCTGCTCTAGGTCCACCTGGCCCCCTTTCTTTGCCCACCCTTTCTTGTGCAAAGGCTCTGAGGCAGCAGAGTATTTGGCATACTTGAGCAGCAGCAATATCACTGAAGCTGGGGTGGATTGCGGGAGGGGAGACAGATGGGACATGAGCCTGGCTGGCCCCAGAATATAACCTGGACTCATCCCACTGTGATGCAGGCCAGTGTCACTGGTGTGGCCGGCACTGGCTGCAGAAAGTCAGTTAGCCAGGGGCTCAGAAGCAGAGTCTGTGCTTCCTCTTACAGGAACGTGGCAGGCAGAAAGGCCAGTGCCAGTCCAGAGTGCCCAGGCAGAGCATCTCCCGAGAGTCGGTCCCGGTGAAACTCACAGCGTGCTTCTGTGTTTGCGTACAGGAATCGGAGCGGCTGGAACTCATGAATGCAGAGCTGAAGACTCAGATCGAGGAGCTGAAGCAGGAGCGGCAGCAGCTCATCCTGATGCTGAACCGACACCGCCCCACCTGCATCGTCCGGACCGACAGCGTCAAGACTCCCGAGTCAGAAGGCAACCCACTGCTCGAGCAGCTCGAGAAGAAGTGACCATGGGCTGGGAGGAGGCGGAGAAGGAGGAAGAGGAGGAGGACGAAAAGTGACAACGAGCGAGGAGGACGGGGCGCCCAGAGAGCCCTTCCTCTGGTGCATGAAAAACTGTGCAATGAGGTTCGGCTCAGCCAACATCAGCCGAGCTTTTTTGTGAAACTCAGATCAGCCACCCAGGGGGAAAAGCGGGCTGAGGAAACCCAGAGGGACCAAGCGCTGAGACCAAAGTTGACCCTCGGGTAGGGTTGTCCTGCCTGGGGCCCCACTTGAAGGTAGCAGGACAGAGGCGCCGAGGCCAGGGAGACGCCCAACAAGGCAACCCTGGGCCCTTCTTCGGCCTCTTCACCAGGGCACCCACCCGAGGAACCTCCCAACAGCCAGGAAAAGCCATGAGTTGCAACCAAAATGCGGCTGAGGATGGAACTCAGAATGAAACTGCAACCCATCTGCCCCCAGCCCTGCCCTTCACCCTGATGCGAAGCGGGAGAGGGGCATGCTGCGGGGCCCTGATGCCCCCACCCACCTCGGTCCAGCGCGGCCCTGCCCAGGAGGCGGCAGCCGGGCGCACCCTCGCCAGCCCTGCTGGAGTTTGCTGTGGGCACTGAGGCGCGGGCGCCCTTCCAAAGCACATACTCACCGAATGTTTACAGACTGGCTGTCCTGGCAGGGCTTTCAACTGCACATGTTTTTTATACTTTCCTTTTTTTTTTTTTTTTTTTTTTATTTTTTTTACAAGAAAAGATTTTATACAAGCAATATATATATGGATTTCTATAATCACTCGATGTGATACAGTATAAATATGCTATGGTTTGTTTGTTATGAACAGATAGCCACCAGTTACGGCCGTTGTGTGTAACTCCTAAGTACTGTAGTCTCTGGGTGTCGGGGGTGGCCGGGGTGGGGGCGGGGTGCATTTCCATCCTTGTAAACCCTTCATAGTACTCAGTCCTGTATCGCTCAGTAAACATTGCTCTTACGTACACAGCTGCCTTGCGTGGTGTCTGCCTGGGGAAGGGGAGCAAGGCACACTCAGGGTGGGAGACCGTTTGGAACCTCTGCTGCAGGCCCTCTGCATTTTCACAACAGCCCTCCTGCTTCACAGATGAGGAAGCTAAGGCTCAGAGACATTAAGCCACCTGCAGTTACCATTTTGAGAGCAGTCAGCGTGTTCACTCACTCCACAGATGTTTTCTGAGAGCCTGTCATGTGTGTGTCAGGCCCTCAGAACTCACTGGAGGATGAAACAGACCTAAGTCTTGCCCTCGTGGGGCCTTCAGTAAGGAGCGAATGCTGTGCTTTGCTCCATACACTGTCTCATTTCGCCTTCACGGCAGCCCTGCCGGGGAGCAGCACGTGTCCCCAGTTCGAAGAGGGGGAATCAGAGGCCCAGGGAGAGTTTACGGGCAGCCACCGTTTGTTGAAGACCTATTTTGTGACACACAGACATAGTCTCATTCCCTTCTCACAACAGCACAAAATAGGCACAATTCCTCTCATTTTGCAGATGATTTAACCGAGGCTCAGAGAAGGTAAGTGACTTACCCAAGGTTACCCAGCTAGCAAGGGATGGAGCTGGTGTTTGAACTCTACCTCCAAAGGCCTGTGAGTCTCCTCTTGTCATCAACTGACTATGATTGTCCTCATGGTTGAATAGGAAGCTTATGAGGCTGTAGTTATAGACTTAGTTTCTGGGAAGGTTGGATAGAGTTCCAGGCTGTCTCATGATCACAGGTAGCGAAACTGCTACCCTGGTAAATGTGTGCCTGACCTGGGGAAGGGTGTGGATGGCTTCTCCATCTCATCACCTCCAAAGCTGAATCCCTCCCCCCAAGAGCCAGGGCAGCTCAGTGGCGTTTACTCAGTACCTGCTGTTTACCTGGCACTCGGTAGCTCTCAGGGCATGTCATGCACCAGGAAGGTGGGAGAGGTGTTCTTAGCTCCCTTGTATACTGAAGCTTGCAAAGGCTACGGTTTACCCAACTAAACTTGACTCCTGCATTCTAATCATGTGTCCTTTCTCCTCCATCACTGGACTTAGGACAACTAGTTGCTGGTGATGACTTCACGTCAAGAAGAACCTGAGTTGCTTCCCAAATGGTGGACAAGGCCTTCTGGGATGGGCGGAAGTGGAGAATGGTGATGAACACACCTGTTTCCGTCCACCCAACACACTTGGCGTGGACTCCCCTGCACCCTGCCCTGGAAACAGCCTGGTCGGCTTACTGTCAGCTGTGGCAGCCCACAGGAACCCCTCACACTATAATCCTTTGATTTTTTTTCAAGCCATGAGAAAAACAAAGAAGAAGACTTAGAAGGGCCCTTCCAGTGACCTCGAAGATGTCCTTGCAGGACTGCTGCCTGCCACTGGCTGTGGCTGCCCTGGCCCTGTGCTTGGGCACCAGGAGCTGGCATCTCCAAAATAGAGCCTCCTGAGCCTATGCAGGTGGGCTGTCTTCCAAAGTCAATACACCAGTGACTGTGCTGTGCAGAGCCTTCCTCACCAGGACCCCTAGCTGTGCCTGTGGCCAGAAGTCACAATTATAGGCTTTGTCACAAGAGCCAGCGTTTGAGTTTCTTCTGGGCACCTGCCACTGTGCATGTGTGACCTCGGCTGTTTTGTGCAACCTGGCTGGAAGGTACGTGCTAGCATCCCCACATTACAGATGAGAAAACTGAGGCACACAGAGGAGGTGACCTGTCCAAGGTCACAGGTGTTAGGTGGCAGAGCCAGGGTGTTATTACCAGTCTGACTTCAGGGGCATACAACCTGGGGCTGAGCCTCCCTGTGAGAGGAAATGATCCATGTTTGCGGTGTGACCTTGGTTCCCAGGGAACTTGTGCAGGAAGCCGGGAGAGATGGCACAGACCCACCTGTGCTCACAGCACATATTAAGAATTCCCAACTCTCAGGCACACCATCTCCAAGGGTGTGTACAGAAGACACACTTTCAAGGCAAACAGGTTCATGATGTGATCTTCTACTGACTAGCTGTGAGCCTCATTTTTCTTATCTGTGAAGTGGGAACAGTAATAATCCAAGTCTTTTTATGGAGTTATCAGGATCAAGAAAGGAACGGCTATACAAACTGTTTTGTGAAATAACAGCTCCCTAAAATGGTAATTATTTTGTCCTCTGTTAGTGTGGATAGTTGCTGATATTTACATAGTTCAGGTTATTTAAATATGTTTTATTCTCTAAAAATGGGCTGCCAAGTTTGTGTTCTGACCCCGTACACAGTCTCTATTGTGTGATGAATGCCTGGGACCCCCGACCTCTGGATCTGTTCAGCTCCTGGCTGGTCACAACCAGCCGTGCTGGATGCGTCATTTCCTCCCTGGGCCTCAATGTGCCCTCCTGCCAGATGGCCATAAATAAGACCTGTGCCACCTCTGCCCAGGGTTCCTATGAAAATCAGTCAAGTTGATTAATGCAACCATGGCCTGAGAAAGACAAGACCTTTTAGCCATCAGATGGGCAGAAACAAATATGTGTTGGTAAGAATATGGGTTAGAGGAAACTTACATATGCTGCCAGTGAGAAACTGTGCAAAGCAATTTGGAAATAGCCAGTAACACGAAAGCTAAACACATCCTTCAACCTAGCAGTTTTCCTCCCTAGTCTTGGGAGGAGCTCTAGCACAGGGGTAAAATGAAATGTACAAGAATGTTCATTGATGCTTTGTTTGTATTTAAAAAACGTTGAAAACAATCTGAATGCTGATCAGCGTAAGAACAAATATACAAATTGTGGTCATTTCTTAAAATTAAATATTCATTAACAGGTAAAAAGAATGAACCAGAGCTATACGTATCAATGTGGATAAATCTCAGAAAGCTACTGTTGAGATGGAGAGTAGGGGAGCGAATTGCAGAAGGATACCACTTATGCCATGTTTCTAACTAAACGTGTACGTTGATACTTTAATGCTTATGGGTGCACACAGATCTGGGTAATAGAGGTATAAAAGCCTGCACAAGAATGCTGTCAATATCACAATCAGTCATAGGGAGTGCACCTGGGAGGGCTGGCGAGAGGAGGAAACTAGGCATGGCATGGCAAGGGTAAGGAGGATACTGGATTTCAACTTCAACTCTAAATGTAACATTTTGTTTATTTTTTTTAAATCCCCATCGGCCGGGCATGGTGGCTCACACCTGTAATCCCAGAACTTTGGGAGGCCAAGGCTGGTGGATCACCTGAGGTCAGGAGTTCAAGACCAGCCTAACAAGGTGAAACCCCGTCTCTACTAAAAACACAAAAATTAGCCGGGTGTGGTGGCTCGAGCCTGCAGTTCCAGCTACTTGGGAGGCTGAGACAGGAGAATTGCCTGAACCCGGAAGGCGTAGGTTGCAGTGAGCCAAGATCGTGCCACTCACTACACTTAAGCCTGGGTATCAGAATGAGACTCCATCTCAAAAAAAAAAAAAAATACAGATCAAATGTAGAATGACGTTAGGATTTGTCAGAAGTGGGTGAGGATTTGTCAGAAGTGGGTGATGTGTGCATAGACGTGGGCTGTCTTCTCTACGCTCCTGTTATGCTTGATATATTCTGCAGTAAAAAAGAACAAGCCACAATGCAAAGAGGAGGTTTTGCTTTTATTATTTCCTTGGCAAACTCAGGAAATAAAACAAATCTGAAATTACAAAGGAATTGCAGCATATGTTCTTTGAATGTATGCAAATTTAATTATATGCCTGGAGGAAGAGAGAGACAATTCACAGGGTGGGATGAGTTTAGCTGGCTAAGCCCCTGGGGGAGGGTGCCCAAGGCTGAGGCCACCTTGGGGACAAGTGCTCTGCTCTGCACTCAGTGGATCCTGGTCCCTGCTCTCTACAGGAGGGGCAATTAATGAAGTGTTCAAGGTTCATCTGGACTCTAGACTTCTTCCTCACATGCTGACTTTTCAACCCAACCCCTACTCAAAACTAACTGGACTGTGCCTGTAAGTGGAGCTGTGGACTGGAAGCCCAGCAAAGGGGAAGGCTTTGAAGACGGGAACCCAGTTTTCGCAGGTATATTTGCTTTCTTTTGCTACCATAATAAACTATGACAGATGTAATGCCTTAAAACAACACAAATTTTGTCTTGCAGTTCTGGATGTCCAAAGCCCAAAATGCTTCTCACTGGAGGCTCTCAGGGAAAATCCACTTTCTTGCTTTTTCCGGGTTGTGGAGGCTGCCCGCATTCTACCTTCAAAGCCACCAGTGGCCACACATCTTTCTCACCCACTGCTCTGACACTGACTCTCTGCATCCCTCTTCCATCTTTTTTTTGGAGATGGAGTTTCGCTCTTGTCGCTCAGGCTGTAGTGCAATGGCATGATCTTGGCTCACTGCAACTGCCTCCCAGGTTCAAGCGATTCTCCTGCCTCAGCCTCCCAAGTAGCTGGGATTACAGGTGCCCATCATCACACCCAGCTTTTTTTTTTTTTTTTTTGAGATGGAGTTTCGCTCCTGTCACTTAGGCTGGAGTGCAGTGGCATGATCTCGGCTCACTGCAACCTCTGCCTCCTAGGCTCAAGCAATTCTCCTGCCTCAGCCTCCCAAGTAGTCAGGATTACAGGCATGTGCCACCACACGGCTAACTTCATATTTTTAGTACAGACGGGGTTTCTCCATGTTGGTCAGGCTGGTCTCTAACTCCCAGCCTCAGGTGATCCACCTGCCTTGGCCTTCCAAAGTGCTGGGATTACAGGGGTGAGCCACCACACCTGGCCTATTTTTTGTATTTTTTAGTAGAGATGGGGTTTCACCATGTTGGCCAGACTGGTTTTGAACTCCTGACCTCAAATGATCCACCCATCTTGGCCTCCCAAAGTGCTGGGATTACAGACATGAGCCTCTGAGCCCAGCCTTCCCTCTTCCATCTTTTAAGGGCCCTTGTGAAGACACGCTGCCCACCCCACTAATCCAGATAATCTCCTTATTTTAATGTGTGCTGATTAGCAACCTTAATTCCACCTGCAACCTTAATTCCAC